GTTTAAATTAAAAGTTTTGCAAAAAAAATCGAGTAGCGTACGCCACTTCAAAGATCGCGACGAATGCTCGTTCGTCGTGAAAACTGATAACTCTAGCGATTTTCATTGAAAGCACGAACAATTGATCATTCATATGCAGTTACCCGAGATATATATGGAATTTCAATATCCAAACGCTGAACTTCCAGTCGCATAAATTAACGCTGGAGAATTCCCATCGACGCGCAACCTCGTTTGCAAACTTCTTCGATCGCTCGCACGCATCATCCAATATTCAATCAAGACGGTCCGCTCTATGAGTGAAAACTACCCTCTGATTGTTACCACAGATACTTTTGTTGCTTTCCACTGCTCACACCTATAAGTATACATTTCGTGTTTTTTTTCTTTTTTTTTTATCACTCGAAGAGTGGGTCAATCAAGCACTTTTAGTTACAAACTCAAACTGAACATATAGTTTTCAGGTGCCCTAATCGTATCATATGCCGATGTATGCAGGGCAATCATACGCAGCCAACCAATCAGTTCCTCATTGTGTCCGTCTTCCTGTACAATCCACTCGTCTCGAAATCCACCCCAACTGACCTCCCGCAGTTATGCTTCGCTGTACTTTGGTCGGAAAAACACGACGAGGCTGAAAGTCACTCGTACGTATACCGCTGCGTCGAATGGATTCTGGAAAACATGTTTTCATCCCCGTGTAAACTATTTCTACATTGTTATTGAAAATTAGCCCTTTAATTAAATCAAAGTAGAGTAGGGCGTCAAATTGCGTTCGCATAGTGTACAACCTTGATATATATGTATATCTCATGAAACATAATCACGGTAGTAAAAAAGCGAGCTGCAACTCAAGTCTTTTATTAAATTTCGCTGTCGAGACGCTAAATGGATAGCCATCCGAGCTCTCTCTCTCTCTTAGCTGTCCAATTCCTATACCTTACATTGATTTCGCGTGAACTTTGTGGAATAAAATTCCTTCAGTTTTTTTTTTTTTTTTCCCGGGATTGGCAATAAAATTCTTTCCACTACTCGCGAGAGACCGCGTTGTGCACTCCCCCGAGTTCTCGCGAAGCCTTGAATTTTAAATTAATGTTGCAAAATCGCGTCAAACTTTTTCCTTACATCTTTGACACGAGTTCGGGGAGTATGACTCGCTTTTCCACTCCTACGACTCGAAAATCGGCCTCGCGCGTATCCCGTGCACGTGACGCGGCAACACGGCGTCGTCGTTATTTCGAATCGGCCTCGCGCCCTGACGAGCGGAAAATCAGACCTCATCCTCGATCCACCCCTCCCCCCCTTTTTAGTTACACTTTGAATTTTATTTGATGTCGCACTTGACTAGCGGCTGTAGCCTTTCCAGAGAAACGACGTTTTACTCCAATGTGATGCATTTTCATTTTTATTATCTTGGATTTATTGGGCCCGAGTTTGATTCAGTATGAATGATTATCCTGTGTAGGTATTGGCTTTGTTGTTAATTTCATCTCACGTTCTTCTAGCATATTTTATTTGTAACTTGCAACTTGCAATAAACAAACCTATATTCGATCTTTCAGTCTTTACGTATTAGCAGTGGCATTAGCAATTAGCAGTGGCCCATAGAAACATATCCCACGCACAGGATTTATGAATTTCAGAGCAGTATATTCTTGTCAAACTCCAATCTTCTAGGTACGCTATTGTAATCAATGAATATTAACGCTTAAGAGCGAGCTATTCGTTGTAAAGTTCCTCTCTTTAGTTCTTGTATCTGGTGGTAAAAGAGTTATTGCAGTAATTGATGCTTTTGATTGAGTTGACGTATTGTCATAATAACTAATTGATGTCCAATCATTTTTGCCAACTTGTGCTTATACTAACGATAGTTTCGTTTATACCTATATAATATGCATTTGTAATCGCTTTTAAGCCGATTTCGTTTTATTCAATGTTCTGCGATGTGGCAAAATTTATGTGATTCGATGAATAATTGTGAAGCGTGTACCATAATCCTTCCATTATACAATTTTGTTTCGTGATTAAAATTTTTTGCGGATCCTATTATCAAATCTGTTGCAGAAAAATATAAGTTAGCAGTGGCATTATTGTTAGGTGTGAAGTGCGTACATAATCAAAATTTTGTTCATTTTCTTCATCAACCTTTGCGTTCGAGTACTTATAAAGCTTCACTGAATGTCGAAAATCATCCCCAACTTGCAGTGCTACTGTTTCTTCAGCCAGCTTTATTCGAGATTTTTTATTGTACATACAATAAAATACAACGTATGTAGGAGGTATATATAATGTTTCGAGGATTAATACAATGGCAAAATTGAGCGGCGAGTGTAAACGATTCCCCCATTAATGCCTGGAATTTACCCATTTGCCGAGATCGACATTCATGCAAATAAGCAGATTACGAAGAAAGTAGTACGCAAGAAATAGTAACGTATCAAAAGAAATAGAAGTAGGGTTTTTTTTCGTGCAATTAGTGCCCCTCCTTTTTTTTGGAACAGGAAGCCCAGCTGTAATGTAATTACTCAATATCATACGAGCGGGTGAAAAAACTTTGTTTTTACCTCACGTCGACTTATAATTTGCATCGCAGTTTGATGCAACTTGTAAATCATTTTGATTATTATTTGAGGGGAAGAAAAAATTTCACCAAGAGTGGATAAGAAGTTAGGTACGCGGCAAAAAAATAAGTTTGCAACAAAATAATTTAGTGTCAATTAAAATCCTGTGGCTCTTTCTAAAAAGTTAGTGATTTTTAATTAATAGTGAAAAATTGTTATTTGATGATTATTTATGGACAAAAAGAAAGAAGATATCCCAACCTATATCAACGGCACATACGGTAGAATTCACACGATACGGTTGCTGGTGTACGTCTTAAAATACTTTGTTTGTAAATAAATAAAATAACATAGGTTTGTTACCGTGATATAAATATTAAAAATTAATATTTTATAAGACTAATGTAAATAACAAATACCAAGCACCAACGTTTTCCCCGCAAATTGCATTTCTTTTTACCTTGAGCTTCATAGCGAAGAAAAAATCTTTCCCCCTGCAACCCAGATCGAGAAACTTTCATCACCCGTTTCCTCAATCACAACGCTCAGGTTGGTCGTAAAAAGTCATGTTAATCGTAGGGTCATCCTGGTAAACCTCCTTATACCCCAACGATTTCGCAGATATGCGTCGATAATACCCCAAAGGGCGAGAGTCAAGAGTGTTTGCCGACTGTGACCCTCTCGTGTGTCAAAGGCTATTGGAAAAAGTTTTTTGATTTCTCCAAAAATCAGTCGGAAACAAGAGCTGTAAGCTCTTTATCCTTTCGCGAGGCACTACTCGACTTCTGATGAAATTCGAAACGAAATCGCGTCGCAATGTATCAAAACTCGAGACGGCTAACAGCTCTAGCGCGTCAAATCGACACGTTTATTTATCTTCCGTGTTATTTTCGTCCATTCGCGCGAGCCCAGCTGGCTCCCCCCCAGATCGTCATCGGGAAGGAATTTGGGCATACGATTGTTTGAAACTTTGGCGCAAAACCTTCATTGCATAATGAGGAAGCTAATAAATTTTTGCAACACATATCCTGTGCTTCGAGCTATACATTCGTCTAAGTTGTTACTGCTTATTTTTACACGCAACAATGTACCTTCTTTACCACAAAATAACCGGCAATATTTTGGGGTCGCTGTTCATACCTCTGTTGCGATGAAGTAACAAATAAAAAAAAATAAAAATCGGTAATCGCATTATCGAAGTGCCCATTATACCCCAATAGCGCCAAGTTCAATCTTATATGACGGGCACTAAGAGCAGCTTGGCACGTGGCGATGGTGCTTGGATTAATGAATGCTCGTGCACGTAATATCGAAACTTTGGCCAATTGCGCGTCTTAAATATATCAGATCGACGTCCAATCCAAGTTCGCGGTGCGTAACGGTATAGATCGAAATCGGTATCATAGGTGCAAGTCGCGAACGGCAAAAAAAAAACAAAGCGTGTATTATTAGTGTGAGCTAATCCTCGTAGAGGCGCCACGGCGACAGTGGGCAATCGCCTAGCAACCGTTGTAACGCACCCAGGGGTGGGTGAGAGACAAAGGGAGGCATCCCGGTCTTCGTCGTAGCACCTATAGCCGTAGAGCCGGTCGTCGCCGCCACTAGGTGCCTCGAGTTCTGCTCTGCTCTGCTCTCTCTGTCCTACTCGCGCTGCGCTACGCTATACTCTCTCTTTCTTTCCCTGCTGTCGCTGTTGGCCACTCCCGCGCGCCAGCACTCCAGTAGTGTTTAGCTCCGCGTCCGCCGCGCTTCGTCGTATAGACCAACTTTCGCGCGCTCCTCTTAGCTCTCTATCTTTATCCTTTTTTTTTATTTTTATTTTCCATTGCTTTTTTTCATTTTATTTGTTATTTTTTTATTTGTATTGCTACCTTATTCCGCATTCCCATATCTCCGTGCTGCTTTTGGAAAGTCGGTAACCCTCCACCCCCCCACCTATTTGTTGTTTTTCAATCGGTCCTTTGAACTTTCGTTTGTGATCGCTTTGTTTTGGCTTCGCCTGCAGTTGTGTTTGATCCGAGGTGGAGAAGTGAGTTATATAGTGCGACAAAACATTTTATAAGTGGTTTTTTCAAAAATCGTCATGATGCAGGTTGATTGTTTTTTGATTTGGGAATGGTCCTGGAATATTGTGACGCAAGGAGGTAGGGGGCGAAAGGGAGTTTTTATCGGTCGTGATTTTTTGCTCAGTAAATATTGGACCATGAAATTTAATTAAATGGAATCACTGAATAAACGGAACAAAACATTGGGGTGTGCCGGTGCATACAATGTCGCGGATTATGTCGCGATAGAGTATGAAAAGCGCCGCCGTAGCACAATGTATAGTTTTTATTTCTCTTCGCCAATGTTGTCGCTTATGTGATTAACCATTACTTTTTGTAAAATTTTATTCATGTATTTTTAAAACTTTGAATGTAAAAGTGAAAAACACGAGTATTACGTGTTTATTTCAAATAAAAAATAATAATGAATAGTCCTCTCTGAAAGATCAAGAACAAAAACATTTTATTCATAATCAAGGAGGTTCAATCATTATTTCTAAATCCAGAGAAAGCACTGAAACTTTCAACAATAAGTATTCAGAGTCTCGAAAAACTGTGCGATTTTTTATAAATATTGGTGTTATTTCAACTTTTAGTACAAGCTCTTAAGGACAGCAATGAATTTAGGCTCGTTTTTTCATTTGTAAAAAAATTTGAGGTAAAAAGTTCCTACAGTTTGAATAAAGTTGTTGATAAATTAATTTTCGTATATTTTCACGGTAATATTATTTAGGAAAAAAAAAAAACAAAAAAAAAACAAGAAAGCCTTTGCATTTGGAAACACCAAATATTAGGTGGTAATCGGTATGAATCTTTATTATATTTTTGAAAGTTTATTCAACAGTTTACGAGCTCATGAGGAAAACTGCGTATGGTATTTATGTTTGTAAGAAAAAAAATACACATGCCTTAGTTCCATGGATGAGCATCTCGAAAAATAACAACTTCAAAAGATATTAATCGAAACGTAAACAAATAATTTATCGGCTAAACGCGTGTAAACAAAGAGCGCCTCAAGCTATTTCAACACCTGTACGATATGGGGCTGCATGATGCACTACTCGACATACACATGTGATACTTTGCAAACAAATTTATAAAACGCAAGATGTCAACGAAAAAAAAAACTCACCCTATCACTCATATCGTTCTCTATATAATTCATAACTCGTGTGTCCATCACCTACGGCTTCCCTATACCCTGTACATGGTCCCTCGACAAATCACAGCCACGGAGAGCGCACAATCCAGTTTCAGCCGGCACGCGATACCTTACCGTACTACCATCGAGTGAACTTCATTGAAGGGCGATCGTGCTCCTTTCCCGTGCCAACGCCCGCGTCCTACGTCCAACCCCCTTTTCTTCCCTCGACCCGACTTTTCCGCGCTTATAAGCAAGTCCAGCGCGCCTTTATTAAAGAAGTCCGAGCCAAAGTTGCAAAGTTCGCTTCAGTCGGTCGAAGCGTACAATTGGCGCTACCATTGGTGCCTTTCTTACTCAATTCACCGCGGGCTGCAAGGCGCCCTTTTCGCAGAAAGGAGGAGTTAAGGCCGGTCGCGCGGCTCTGTAATAGAAATCGACCCTGCATGCCGCGAGGAGCTGAAAGGCTCGAAAAAGTTTTAATTGAGGCTTTCTTTGCCTCAAATTGCATTTTACACGCCCCCCCCTCCCCCGCAACCGCGAGGAAAATTCACTCGGACCGCGTTACCGTTCTCTGCACCGGTGATGCGATTTATTCCCCCCCCCTCCCTTTTTGTTCCTGCTGCTCCTCGACTGCTTCTCCGTATTCATGTAACGCCCCGTGAATGTAGGTCTTCGTTAATGTGTCCTTGGGCTAATTTATTTTTTTCCTCCGTTTTGGTCGAGTTTAGGGGGAAAAAAAAAACTGTGGTTGGGAGAATTAATGAAGATATGTTTTGTACAACTGTTGGTACGTTCTTACAAATTTTGCAATATAATCGAACAATACTTCATTTTTTTACCTCTAGACGATGAAATTTTCGTAAAATTGACAAGAAAATTCACAAAGTATTCAAAAATTATATTTCTATTTGAATAGGGTTGATTCGATGCTTCTAGCTGTCAATAAATATTAAAAATTATTTTGCAAAGCTTCAGACAATTTTCTTTCAATGTTACACGCAAGCGAGGTAGCTGTCAACAATAATAATTTATCTTGAGGATCAGTTTTTTCTTTGACTTTCCTTTGTAAGTGTACCCGACTAACTCACTCGAAGAGGTTGTTGATACAACTTGTACCCCTCGTATTGTAACTCGATATTTTATAATTCAGTGTTATTACCTTTATCGGGTGAAAAATCTTGTATTTTTCAATAAATCGAGCATTTCCATTGAAAATACGCATCCTTCTTGTACAAATACACGTTCAATGTACCTCTACATGTCGACATTTCCATTGCATTGTATTTGTAATGAATACCCAACGATCTCACCCTTTGAAGATATTGCCTGGCAACTTATTATTCTACTGCCATAAATTGATACAGTTATAAAAGTAAGCTTCAATTGCGAAACTTGATAAAAAGAGCATCCTTACAGTCAGCACCAACAGAAAATAGGGCAAACGCGTTGCGTACTGTATATTGAAAAAGAAGAAAAAAAAAAAAAAAATTACCATGACGTTTTACAGTAAAAGTTGCAGCTGATAAAACTTTCAACGTAACGTCAAGGTGCCCGTGCACCCATTCGTTCGACGTTATTCCGACAGTCACCCCAAGGTTGCTTACCCCACGTTTTCTTTCCTTCCGTCTATATACTACAGCTGTCAAGTAACACTTGATGAAATTTCCACTGATCCCTCTTTTAATTAAAAAAAAAAAAAATCACACGCCACCCTCTACCCCTGATCTCGATCGGTTCATCACCACCTGGCACCAAAAAAGGTCGAATAGGCTAAATTAACGAAGTCACGTCGATGCCTTTTAAAAACTCACCCAAGCCCTGCTTCACGAGCTCCCAAATAAAAATCCCATTAGCATTTAAAACGAGTACACACGTGGAGTTTTGTAGATTTTCGCACGCGCGAGCGTTCTAATTTCACGACGAAATTCGTGGGGGTCATGTACACCGGGGAGCTGCAGGGGTCAAAGCGCAGTTTGCGGAGGACTCTGTGCATCACGTGCGGTTTCGAATAGTATACATCAAATGAAGAATCCGCGCTTCGACGCCACACACGTTTTACTCTTGACGTGCGTGAATCCAGACCGGAGGTTGGTGTTTTCGCTCAATTCGGACATCTGTGTGGGTGGGCGTTGCTGCGCTATTTGGACATTGTCGTTGTTTGGATTTTTACAATTGTAACGCTATACTGTATAGCCATTCATCATGATGGCTTTTTTTATTCGTGACACGATTGAATCTATCGTGTGGTTTGTTTTAGATGATGTTTTGGTTTCAAAAAGTCAAAACCACCCAGAGTTGTTACCTCAAAAAATTCCAGAGAATAAATCTGTTTGACTCAAATTTCAAAGTTTCATGGCTATCGGAGCCATAAAAAAAATAAATAATAAATAAAACACTTCTGCTGTCCGCGACAGGTATACTTTGCCCCCGGCAATCTCTCCCTCGCGGGTCACTGCAGTTGCCTGAAAATTCTGCCCGATCGAGTTGCCGGCTGTAATCTCTCGAGGGCGCAGACTCCAATCGCGCGTACTCGGATACACCGTATATCCATCTCCGCTAATCGAGCGTCTTTTACCCGCGGCAGTTTGCAGTTTTAATAAACGATTCGTGAGGATGAAAATCGTGCCCGATTATCGATGGATTTTTTTAAAAAAGCTCCATCTACCTAATCGAATGCAACGTATTTGCACCATCTCTCGGTGAAATAAATTTAAATTCATTTATGTGTGTGTGCATGAATCAAAAACTCATGAAATCATTCAGGAATTACAAGTGTACCATGTGTGCAAATTGGCATTTCCAACTTTATTTGTGAAAAGGGAAATTGCGTTTTGTTTTTTTAACTATTTACTTGTTGGAACGACTATGATCGATTCAATCTTATTGCAAAAGAAATTTATGCATTTCTTTAAATGATTTGTAGTATGCAGTATAATAATTAGTTGAGCTCATCGATCTTATAATTATGATTTTTCTTTCCCTCTCATCCTTTGCGCTAACACATAGCAATTTTGCTGAGGAATCTAAGAAATTCCATGCCCATAAAAATCCCCTCGCCTTCAGAAAACGAAGGAATTTTCTTCTGTGACGAGTAGAGTTGAGAAGGAAAATAAAATTGGTTATACGTGTCTTCCGCAAAATTTGTCCCAATTAGCTGAAACTGACCTAGTATGTGACTATATGTGCGCTCAACAAAAAGTAGGGAGTGACAAAACAATCCAAAAGAATGTAACAGCAGGAGTCACGTGGTACCTGTCATTGTCGCGCGAAGCGACGAATATATTTTTGTTTTGACAAGTGCAGCGCGAAAAAAGGTCGGGTATAAGAAAAACACGCGCTAACTCGACGTTGGCGACGACTGCAGGGAAAAAAGAACGGAGGGAGGCTCGATCGGGGGTTATCGTTCTTGCATGCACAAAGAGGAGGCGCCCGACGTGAACGGGATCGTAGATAAGAAGGGGACGGAATTTGCTTTTCTTCCGAAGGAAAAGGGCGTGGAAATTCCCCTCGGAGTTGAACGTGGAAAACCTTTTAGACGAGAGCTAAGAGCTTGTGTACTTTTTTGTTTAAGGAGTTCTGCGAGCAGGTGCCCTCCAATTTTGTTTTTTTTTTTTTTCTCGAAAGACTGATTGATTGTGTACGTGGAAAAAAGAAATAACCGAAGCATAGATTGGATAAGATAACACGGGACTATGCGCTCGTGAATTTTAAGGCCAGTGTCTAGACGACGCGGTCGTCTTGTTTTTTTCCCCTCGCAGTGTATACCTACTTGCGAGGAGAGTAATGAAAGTGTGTTTGGGTAAATATCTCTTTTTCTACGTGTATGGTGGTGCGTTTGGGTAGAACTGCGCAACCATCGGGAGAATCTTTCTGTTTTTTCTTTTCATCCGAGTTGTAGGAAAATTCCAGATATTTTACCAAAAGTACCTATTTCCAAGGCAGGTCGAACCCCTGTATTCATTATTTCTTCAAGTATCACGCACAACGCGAATATTCTTGAAGTACCATAACGAGCAATTTTATTCTCCTTCTCAGAGATATTTTGGTCGAATAACTTGTTTTACACCATCAATTTTATACGTATTCGTACCTATACACGTGCTCGAGAAATATATGTATATATACTTTTTTTATAAACACGTGCAACTGACAGCTCGTTAAAATATTTTTTTTTTAAGTCTCGAGTCCGCTAGGCAGCTACTTTAAATAAATAATCACTCCGACGGTGACGAAGAAATTCGCTGTTTCGAATAATTCAATTAAAGTATAATTAATTCACGTCACGTTTACTCATAATACTTTTTGGAAAATGAAGTTGGTAATTAGCAATTACGTTCGAAACTCGTAATAAATATTTTTAATTTTTATAAATTGCGCGCAGCTATAGTAGTTTATCGACTAATTCATCTTTGAAAATTAAACTAAACAATTTTCGTCTGTATTAATATTTTTCGATATTAATAATTTTTTTTGGTTAAAGTCAAATTGGACGATTTTTAAAAATTATAGTTAAACTTCAATGTATATTAAAATATGCGTAGGTCTCAGTAAGCTATTGGTATAAAGTATACGGAAGATGAGTAAAACTAAAAGTTCGCTTATCCTAAGTCAATTTTCAACGTGTAAGCGCTTGTTGGATTAAAAAAAAAAAAAAACGTGATTATTGCATGAGTAACCCAAAGTTCCAAAGTACTAAATAAATTCAAAGCGGAGCCCGAATGAATAATTAATTTTGCAAAAGCCCGAAACCCAAATGCCTCGTAGAGTTTGCCAAAGTTATTCCGCTTGCGCAAAGTAAGAAATCTATCTCTTGGCTTCGAAAGAACGCACGTTCGGAATAAAACACTCGCCCACCCACGCACTTGCGCCATTAAGAAAAAAAAAAAAATAAAAAAAAATACACCCCAAGTCAAGTTAGCACTGCCAAAAAACTTTTCCGAATATTGCAGCCGTCTTTTGCACGTTGGTCGTGAAAGAATAAAAAAAAAATACTTGCGCATAGATCATTCTGCGTAGGTACTTTTTTTTTTTTTTTTTTTTTTTTTGCTCAGCGAGCCGGGTTTCATAGATACCAAATTGGGGGAAAAAAAATTTCGAGAGCTAGCTCAGCGATGGAGGGATGGAGTACCAGTGCGTCATCGTCTACACAGTGATCTCACCCTCGACGAGCTTAGCCCCCACGCTGCGACTGCAGCTGGAGAACACCGTAGCTCGACGGCCGCCAGCTGGATGCATTGACTGGCTCAAGTCTTGGATCAAGAGGTAGTGCGTGCGTGGCTGATGCTGGATTTTTGTTTTTATTTAAAAAACGAAAGAAAAAAAAATAGGTTTTTTTTCTTCAAATGTTGTACGTAATGCGGCACGACGGGAATTTTATTTTAAAAGTATTTTTTCAAGACCGTAGTTTCTAGGCCACTTTAGAAACTTACCAGAAAGGAAAGAAAAACGAGCAGTGCAGTTTTCGAAATTGTGGTCGTAAATTGCGTGCGAAAACTTAATAATCGCGGAGAGATTTAGCGGTACGTTGAAGAAAATTTTTTAGAAATTCGTAAAAATGTTTAAATCCCTATACCCAAGTTAAAATAGAACCTCCGACGCGACCACATAAATCCGTAAAAGGATTTTAATTTGAAATTGCCCTCATAGCCAAATGGGATTTGCTTCCTTGCGGTGGTAATAAATATAGCAGGAATGTCTTGTTTCTTTTTCCGTGCACTTGCTCTGTTTACTGTGCGGGAGCAATCGAAAGCCATCGAAATTTCCTTTGTTTCGGTGTCCTTTTGGTTCGAGTGACGTTTGTCGGGGTAGGTTTCCTTTTCAATTTTATTGCTGAGCTTGAAGCACCACAAGCATCAGAATAGGTACACTTTTTCTTATACTGTTTAAGACTAGTTGACTAAGAAAAACCTGGGGCTTATGGCATCACCGTAACAAAAAAATCTTCATCTGTAAAAATGTCTGACCTAATATTGATTGGAACTACGTGTTGACGGACTTTGGTATGAATACCTTTTTTTTTTTCAAATACTTTGCACTACAGAGTTTTTCTAAAAATAACGTATGTTATTATCATAACACTGTACTTGTAAAAATATTTTTTAGGGAGAAAAAAGTGTTTAAAGTATTTAAATATTTGTTCAAATACTGTATGACAAGCTTTATTTTGAAAAAAATGTGCTAAGAAATTTTTTTTCTATAAAACGTAATAATTTTTCAAGTATACATTGTTTTTCTTTTTTATCAATTTTAATTAGGCGATTATAGTCTGACGTCAAATGAATTTTTGTCAACGTGCCAGCCGAAATTCCCGCCAGTTAATTATCTTGTCCCGTGCTTTATTAGTTCCTTCTCACAATGCCATTGGAGCTTAATGTCAATAAATTGGATATTTTTTTTTTTACGTTTAATTCTAATTAAAGGAATTTCAGATGTGTACTTTCAGTTTTGGCTAAACAATGTAATATCGACCCTTTTATCCTCTCAGTATGATTATTGATAAGATACTTGAGTTTTAAATTTTCATCGATACAGGGTGAAAAGTTCCTACCGATCACTCGGGTAGAGAATAACTCTTACAATAGTCCCAGAAAAATTTGTAAATGGTACAGAAGGTTTTTTTTTTTTTCACATAAAAAAATAACGATTCGACTTGAATACAAAAACAAAAAGAGCAATCAGTGCTGGAAGCGCACTTCTCGCCACTTGCAAATGCGCGAGGGCTCATTGAATGTTTAAAGCTAATCTCTCGATGGTTGTTGTTTACAGAGCCGTTGCCGCTTACCTGCGCGCGCTCAATCTCAGCCCCAACAATGCAGTCGTTCACGGCAACTTGGCTTGCGTTTACTACGAACAGGGGTGAGTATATATATATTTTTTTCCTTTCACGATACAGTCAACTAGTGCACTGTACAATTGTTCTTAATGCAGCAAATTTGGCGAGCAAATCATGAATGGTACTTGTCTAATTGTAGGCTCATCGACCTTGCGATCGACACATACCGGCGTGCCATTGAGCTCCAGCCGAACTTCCCGGATGCCTACTGCAACCTGGCGAACGCGCTCAAGGAAAAGGGTCAGGTGGCCGAGGCCGAGGAATGCTACAACACCGCGCTCCGGCTGTGCCCGACCCACGCCGACTCCCTCAACAATTTGGTCAGTACATACTTGTATACCACACCTTACGGCAAGAACGTGGCTTGAGACCATTTTCGTGACATTGTGAACACGTTTTGGTATACCCATGCGAAAGGAAGAACAACTTGTTAAATAATTCAGAGCGCTCGTCTATAAAAATATAATAATAAAAACAATTGCCCGTCGTACAACACCGTGCGTTTAATAATACCTTCGTTGATACAACCTTGGGGCTTCATAAAAAATTCACCAGAGTGGTCGATAATATATTAATAAATTTAAAATTTTTATCCCTTACGTGGTACGTGAACGTCCTTTCTTTACGTATTTCTACAGCTATCGTTCAATATTTAGTTTCGCTCTTTCGCGTGTACCAAATGACTCTTTTGACATAACAATTGAAACGAAAAAAGAAGAAAAAAAAAAATTCATTCACTTTCGTGTGTCACGATAAGTATGATGGCCTCAACCCCGATAATTCTTTTCTTTTTACGAGTACACATGATCGCGAGAACAAAAACTGATGAGCCGAAATTTCCGTGTAATCATCGTAATCATCTAATGTACTTATACTCTACAGGCCAACATAAAACGAGAACAGGGCTACATCGAGGAAGCCACGCGATTCTACCTAAAGGCCCTGGAAGTGTTCCCGGAATTCGCAGCGGCTCACAGCAACCTGGCGTCCGTTCTCCAACAACAGGGCAAACTCAACGAAGCCCTGATGCATTACAAGGAGGCGATTCGCATCCAGCCATCCTTCGCGGACGCGTACTCAAACATGGGCAACACCCTTAAGGAGATGCAAGACGTCCAAGGGGCCCTTCAGTGCTACAGCCGCGCCATCCAGATCAACCCGGCCTTCGCGGACGCGCACTCGAACCTCGCCTCGATACACAAGGACTCGGGCAACATACCCGAGGCGATTCAGAGCTACAGGACGGCCCTCAAGCTCAAGCCCGATTTTCCAGACGCGTATTGCAATTTGGCCCACTGCCTGCAGATTGTGTGCGACTGGACGGACTACGAGGCCAGGATGAAGAAACTCGTGTCCATCGTTGCCGAACAGCTGGACAAGAATCGCCTGCCTAGCGTGCACCCGCACCATTCCATGCTCTACCCGCTATCGCACGAATTTAGAAAGGCCATTGCCGCGAGACACGCCAATCTGTGCATCGAGAAGGTACTTGGCTATTCCGAGCATCATTTGATATGGATTTCGGCAATTCAGGACACAACTGATCGATACATTTTTCTTTTAGATCCATGTGCTGCACAAACAGCCGTACAAGTTTCCAAGGGATTCCGGCCAACGTCTCAAGATCGGCTACGTGTCCTCGGACTTTGGTAATCACCCAACCTCACACCTGATGCAATCGATCCCAGGTCTGCACGATCGCAACAAGGTCGAGATATTTTGCTACGCACTGAGCTCCGACGACGGCACAACCTTCCGCGGCAAGATCGCTCGCGAAACCGATCACTTTATCGATCTCTCGCAAATTCCGTGCAACGGCAAGGCTGCGGATCGCATCAATGCCGACGGAGTTCACATTTTAGTGAACATGAATGGCTACACCAAGGGAGCGAGGAACGAAATATTTGCCCTGAAACCTGCGCCGATCCAGGTCATGTGGCTCGGTTATCCTGGTACATCGGGAGCTAGTTTTATGGATTATCTCATCACGGATGAGGTAACTTCCCCGATCGAGTTAGCCAGCCAGTACAGCGAGAAGCTTGCTTACATGCCCAACACCTTCTTCATTGGAGATCACAAGTTAGTGTCTTTCTTATTCTTTTCCATGTCGAGAATTTCAGTTGAGTTTGAAAGGTAGACGGTTTTTTTTTTTTTATCAATGCATCATTATTTTCAGACAAATGTTCCCACATTTGAAGGAACGCCTCATTTTGACCGACAAACTCAACAAAGGCAGCAAATTAGCCGATAACGTGGCAGTCATCAATGCTACAGATCTTTCGCCTATGATCGAAAATACTCTTGTCAAAGAAATTAAGGAAGTTATAGTTCCAGAAGGCCAATCCAGGAGTAAACCAGTCGAAATTTCAATGAAGGTGGCCGAGTTGCCAACAACCACCCCCATCGAGACTATGATAGCCTCGGGGCAGTGCCAAATGTCGGTCAATGGTGTTCTGGTCCAGAATGGAATGGCCACGACTCAAGTCAATACCAAGACAGCCACGGGAGAGGAAGTGCCGCAGAATATCGTCATTACGACAAGGCAACAGTATGGATTGCCCGAGGACGCCGTTGTTTACTGTAACTTTAATCAACTTTACAAGATTGATCCACTTACTCTTCACATGTGGGCACATGTAAGCATATTCTCTTGGAAAATAATTGTTTGTTGGTTGTTGAAGAACCTCGATTAAAATTGATAACATTTGTACAGATCCTGAAACACGTACCAAATAGCGTACTGTGGCTCCTGCGTTTTCCGGCAGTGGGTGAGCCAAATCTTCAAGCTACCGCTCAACAACTCGGCCTCGCTCCAGGCCGCATTCTCTTCAGCAACGTTGCAGCCAAAGAAGAACACGTGCGTCGCGGTCAGCTGGCTGATGTCTGTCTCGACACACCGTTGTGCAACGGACACACAACTAGCATGGACGTTCTGTGGACAGGGACGCCCGTGGTCACGCTGCCAGGTGAAACACTGGCCTCGCGAGTAGCCGCCAGTCAGCTCAATACTCTAGGTTGTCCAGAGCTGGTGGCGCGCACTAGGCAAGAATATCAGGATATCGCCGTTAGATTGGGAACCGACAGAGAATAGTAAGTACCGAAAAATCTCTTTGTGTTTTTTTCAACTTAACTTACTAATGTGATATTTTATTTTTAGCTTGAAAGCCATCCGAGCTAAAGTCTGGGATGCACGAACGGACAGTCCATTGTTCGATTGCAAGATGTACGCAGCTGGTATGGAAATGCTGTACAAAAAGATGTGGGAACGTTACGCGCGAGGTGAGAAGCCAGATCACGTATCAGCGATTGATAAGTCAGACAAACAGAATCATAACGAGACGACGATCTCTTAAATTTTTTAACGCGATGCGGCACGAGTGGCTGCTTGATCTCCGAAGCTCGTTCATATTTTCTCTCTCTTTAACTCTCTATCTTTGTATTAGCTACGGTAAAAACCGACAAGACAGACAAATTCTACTTTTTTATGAATCCTTAGTATTGAATAAAGTACGCGAAGCCTGTATTTTTTAAGGCTTTCATGTAATTGTACTTTATTTATTATCAACTTGTGAGAAAAAACTTGAACTAGTTGAGCGAGACTAATTTTTCGTTATCATCATTTTATCAAACGAGATCGGTCTTAGGGGTCTGAAACCCTCACTCCTTTGATGGACAATCGACGAGCTAATGGTTATTGCAAAACTCAAGAGACGTTCGTGCGACGAAGCCCTTTAGATATTACCGTGCGTATGTAAGACAATATTTATGATCAGTGCATAAAATATGCTAAAACTAATGAACTAGAAGACAAATTCATTTAATTTTTTTTGTTCCAACTTGAGAAAACATACGTTCTCATTTTTTTTGTTTTTCACGCATAATAATGAGCCGCGAATTTTTTGTTTTCACATTTGATCGACCCTTTTGCAGGGTTTGTAACAGTGGTTCGTAAAATTTTTCTTTTCAACCGTACAAACGCAAAATGCTTTGTGCAAAATTATCAAACTGAAAACTATACGATTGTGACACCGCACCGAAAAAAAAAACAAAAAACAAAATCAGTTTCTATTTGCTACAATAACATGTGTACGTATTGATGATGGAGTTACTTTAATTGTATCAATTGCTGAACGATTTATCAATACACCTTGTAAATATTGAAAAAAAAAAAGAAAAAAAAAGATGCTAGTTACTTTAATCTCGTTTATAGTTATTTAGTTTAAGTCAAGATCGAAAGAAGCGTGTGGAATGTTACGTATAAGTCGTATAGTATGTAAATTTAGAAAATAAAAATAGTACGTATTTAAGGTTTTTTTCACCGTTATTTCACTACATCTTATCGTAACGTTACCCACTTCCGCAGTCTGCACTAATATACAAGCAATACTTGTACACTTTTTTTTCCATACCGTTGTAGGAAATTTCCTTCCTGGGTGGAGAAAAATACTTTATGATGCGTAAAATGATTTAAATCATCAGGCTTTGATGTTATAATCGTATAAAATGCTCAAACGATACAAAGAATCACAAAATTATCCAGCGAGGAAGAGAAAATTTGAAATGAAGTAAGCGTTTATCGTTCGAAGCTCACTTGCGATGTACGTACCGACAAGTAAATAACCTGCAGCGCGGTGTACATATTCCCCGATAGCGAGCGAACCGAGTTACCTACCAGAGAAAAAGCTCAGATGCCGCCACAAGCTCCAACAGCTTCGCAAAGCTCGGCTTGATTTCTAAATTCAGTTCCATCCTAATTCTAAACGCTTTGCGCAACAGAAGCAACGAGGCTCGTGATCAAACACGAAAAGTAAGAAATGTAAATATTTGGGGTTAAAGCGACTACGACGACGACGGGTGTGTGTACACGCTCTAGCGAGGGAAAACTCTATTTCTGTATTATTTATCTCACGGCTCTCTGGCTTTGCTCGCTCAAGCCCAGCTCTCCTGCTGACACGGCTCCGACACACGAGAAAGAGAGTTACAACTAAAGCTGCGCCTCCCTGTACGTATATTTCGTAACGCTTGCGCTTAGACCAAACACTGTCGAAACACCCAGACGCACAAATTGTTGAACAAATACACCAAGAATTCCTGTAAACACCTGCACCAGAGTGATCCGATTTTCCCTGCGCTTGTCGTGGCCAATGTATGTACGGCACAATCTCGTTACGTCACTCGTCAAAGAATTCTGACACAGAATGAGTTACGAAATCCAGCTCGTTAACAAGCTGCACAACGAGGAGAAAAAAAAAAAAAGAAAAGAAAATGAGCGAAAAGAAGAACAAGGCCGTCAGCAGCATAGAGCAGTACCTACACTTTAATACGTGTATATACCAACTTGTTACAAGTAATACTACATGAACGGCTTGATTTGCTCGCTCGCTGCCGCTGATGATGGTGGTGCCATCCAATTGAAGCGAATTAATGTGTGCTCCGGTTTTGCGCCCTGACCCGTTCTCTCTGTCTCCATTGCTCCCATATGCTCTCCCTTAACCGAGAACCGAGCGCATAATACGGTATAGACGTGCCAGCAAACTAAGTATGGCAAATAGTGACAAATTGACAGAGAAAAGTGACGGCTGGTGATGTGTGCTGTTCACACGGAGCGCGAAAATCTTGACGGCTCCTCTTGCCGAGTCGTGAGGTGCTTTTTGTTGCGACAATATTATTTTGTCAACTCGAGGAGCTATGCGTATATATATATATATATATATGGGTATAATGATCGCTCCGACTCGCCTTGGCTTGCGTAACGATCTCAATGTCTTTTATCGAGATTAAAGCGACGGGATGATAGAGACGACTGGAGGAGGAAAAAACAGGCCGCATTGTGTTCCGCAAAGAATATCATACCTACTTGCGCAACGCGCGCGTGCAAACTCACGTTTCCGTGAAAAAAAAGGAAAAAAATTGCTCAAACCGGGGAAAAAAATAAAATAAAATAGAAACTACCGGCTCCGGCGCGTATCTTGTATGAAAATTTTTATTGAGTTTTGCAACGCTTCGCACGTGTGTGTACGTGCAGCACCGCCCTTGCCTTGCGTGTTTAATGTACGCGCGTGTACTACAATTATTTTGAAATCATTGTTGGCTCGCGTCCCTAGTGGATTGTCTTTTTTTCTTTTTTTTTGTTTTTTTTTTTTCTTCCTTGCAGTGGAAAGACACAGCTCGTGTAATTACGGAAATTAATGGCATTATAACTTTGCTGCGACGCTAGATTTGACGCAAGAAATGTTTTTCATAAACTTTGTTTTTTTCTCTCTCGCTTTTTTTTTTCATACGCTACGAACATTCAATCATGTTGTTTATTTGACGTAGCTCTGGTTAGTTTAAATATTTTCATCGTCACAATTGCCAAACACAGCCGAGCTCTAACGGTGGTGTAATTATCGATTTTTCATCACGAATCATTAATTCAGCTGGCCGTTGATTAGCATGAATAGCACGCATTTTTTTTCTCGCTGCATTTGAATTGCAGATTGCGACTGTAAAAAAAAAGAAAAGAAAAGACAAAGAGACGAGATGAAAAACTCGGTGAAGAAATAAAGTTTTTTCGCGCTACTTATACGTATATATTTGTATTTGAAAATGACGAAGGCAACTTCCATTGCCAAAGGAAACGCTGGCACTAGTGTGCGCACTAGACATGTACGCCAACGTAGGTGCTTGTACTCGTTAACTTTTCGATTTTCAAATGAACGATGATTAACAAAATACTCCTCCCCCCTCACACGCGTGGAAGACTCGCGTACGGTGCGTTGTACATATACGTACACCATGTACGTCGCGAGGCACCCATTGATCGATTACGAGTCAACGCGCACGACCTACCATATACTTACGTACACTTGCACGCCATATGTACATTACAACGCGGCCGTCGCACCGCACGTATATATATATAAATGCAATACCATTACCCACCTTATACGCTCGTGTACGTCGGGTTCAACATTTTAATTTTCCCTCCCACCTCGACAGTTCCTTTCCTTTTTTTTTCCTCCCTCTTCGGTGCGTGTGTACATACATACATACAAATATAGTTTCGTGACGCGTCACTTTTACAGGGGAAATAAGGGGGCGGTCGAAGGGGAGCTTTTACCCCCCTGGGGGTGCAAGAACCGCTAACTCGTTTTTTCTTTCCCCAGCGCGCGCCCGGATAACGCTATCTCATTTGGTAAATTGTATTTTTATACCGTGCGCTTGAGCGTTATAGGCCTTATTTCTTCCACTCCCTAATCGGGTGTAACGTTTTCGTGTACGGGGAGCAGGGAAAGTTGGTTTTTCTTTTCCCCTTTTTTTTTTTCTTTTTTTTTT